CAGCCCCACCAAGGATGGGGATTCAGCTGCCCCAAAGAAGCGACAGCAGAAGGCAGTCCACACGAACATCTCCAGAGCGTGACGGCAGGAAGACATCCGTTCTGCCCCAGAGCCAGAGCTGGCCATGGGTGGATTTGGGAGCAGTGGAAGCATTCGTACCCAGAGCCTCCCTTGACTGAATTCCTGATGCCCCAGCAGCGGGAGGGCTGCCAGGTGGGGCAGGAAGGCAAGGGGGAGTGGCCTCCTGGGGTCTCTGCTGCCCAGCAGGGAGAAAGGCTGTCGCCCCCAGAGGGAGGGGGGCCTGGGCATGTGAGAAGGGGGCCCTGGCTGCCCCGCCTCACCGGCAGCCCTCTCTGGCTGAAGAGCAGCTTTGGACCACGCTGGCTCTCTCTGGCTCTCGCCCACACGTGGCTTGACTGAGTTTACAGAAGGATTTTTACTTCTGGAGAAAGGCGAATTTGAATAAATTAACATAATTAAATAATAATTTTAAAAAGATCTTTTAAATAGGGATTTAAAGACCGAGGAGAGATGATTAAATTACGCTGCTTTGCACCAGTCCCCTCCGCCCCGGCTGGCTCTCTTCAGGGCCAAAGCGAAGAAAAGGACACAGCCAGAAAGCGGTGTGTTTCGTGTGCGGGTGTGCGCGTGCGCGTGCATGTCACTGAGATGGCCTCCTGATGGTCTGGAGTTTTGCTCTCAAATCCTCCTTGGCAGCACCCAAGGAGGCCGAGCTGAAACAAGGCGCTTGGTTGATCCACCTTTTAGGAGTCCTCTGCATTTGGACGAATTTGCTATTTCCACCTCCAGTGTTAAAGCAGACGGGCACCAGCCTCAGAGGGCATTCCTTTGGGCAGCCTCTAGCTTGGGGTGGGAGAAGAGAGGGGCCAATGGCAGCCAGGCCTCCCCCCCTCCCTCCCGTGGCTCTCCCCACCAGTGGATGGATGAGCCACCCTCGGGGGTCCCGCGAGGCCTCCGATCAACCAAGTGGGAGCCGGCTTGGGGTCCCGGTGGAGTCCTCGTCCTCCCATAGGCACAGAAGCCGGCCGGGTGAGGTTGGGCTGGTCCCCTTCTCTCGGCCCAACCCACCTCGCAGGGGTTTTGTTGTGGAGGAAGCTGGGGGAGGAATATTATGCATAGTGCCTTGCGTTGTCCAAAGTGAAGGTGGGAGAGAAACGGAATAAACAGGGCATTTTAAAACAATGGGAGAATTGGGGAACAAGGGGACCCCAGGCAGAATAACAGCAGCACGGGAGTTTGACACAAGCCCTTGCGTTAGATCATTTTTTGTCTCAACTGATGAGAAAAGATGCTCCAGCGAATCAGGCAACGCTTGTGTGTTGTCTAAGAGCATCTTCTTTTAGCATCTCATGTCAGCTTCAGCGGATGCTTTCACTACACAATACCTGCAATTTGTTCTGGGCTCATTCAATAGAGATTCCTTTGTTTGCTTCTCCTCCAGGCTGTGCTGGGGATTCGCGCCTTGTCCTTTGCCTCCTTCTGTGGCGCTCACTCAGCTACTTTTTTTTATTTTCCAGGGTTCCCTTAAACTCCTACAAGGAGGCTGTAAATAAAAACGTGATTTTCAGTGCTGGTTCAACAAATAGCCCGCTGCCTTGGAAGAAATCTCCCAGGCTATGACGCAGCCCTCAGAGAGCTTCAAAGCAGGGATTCCCTTTGGGGGGCAGTCAAAGGGACCCCTGCATGACATCAGTCCTCTTGGCCAGACCCCCTGCCTGGCAGGGCCATAAACCGCCATTCTCCAGATCCTGACTGCATATTCGGGAACTTGCTGACAGCAGCAGCAGCAGCAGCAGCAGCAGCAGCAGCAGCAGCAGCAGCGCCCAGACCTGATGCGGCTCAATCGGTCACTTCAGCGAACAAGAACAGGGCCTCTGAGCACAGGCTTTAAGATTGGGAGAGGCTCAAGGTTGACCTGCTGGCTCTTCTCGCACAACTCTTTGAGTTTCATCTCTTTAAATGAGGTGTCTGTTTGCCTTTGAAGGCTTTCTGGGGCCAGTGGGCTTTCTCCAGATTGCCACTCCTATTCTAGTCTTCTTCGGATGCCCAAATCCTCACTCAGAAACTGCCACTTGCCTGAGAATTATGGGAAGTGTACATCGGAAGACCTAGAAATGCTGTCCCGGTCACTTCTCTGGAGAAAGCTGTGCGGCTCTTTCCCGTTTCTTCTCAATCTATGGCCACCAAGACGAGGACCTAGACATCCTGCCCTTGATGAAGGAAGTGCTCCACCTCTCTTCCATTCTCCAGAGCGTGTTTCATCAAAGCCTGGGCTGAAAGGGCTCTTGCGAGCATCAGATCCGACCTCCCACCACATGGAGAAACCCAAAGTCAAGCCTCCCCAGCAGGGTCACTGGATCTCTTGCCAAACCAGACAGGATCCAGGCTGATCTATGCGGGAGAGGAAGGGTGCGGGGTGGCGGGAAGAAAAAAAAGGCATGTAGACAAAACAAGGCCTTCACACTCCTCCGGGCAGCGATGCCAATGGGGCAACATGCCTCCTTTCCAGGAAGGTGCCCATGCGCAGAAGACAGCCCCAGCGCCTTCCGTCCGCTGGCTAGGGGCCACAGGGCCCACGCGGCCTGCTCTGGAGATTCAACTCTGGATCTCAAAAAATGCTGACAGGCTCGTCTTCAAGAACCAAAACGTTTTATTTGGAACAAGTCCAAGAGAGCTCCCCAAACAGCTTCTGACAGGTAAGGCCTGCACATCAATCTTTCTCTCTCTCTCTCTCTCTCTCTCTCTCACACACCTAGGCACACACATACACATGCACACACACACGTGGTTGTGCACTGTGGTTCTGGCAGCTCCAGCAGGGGGGAAGCCGTTGTCTACAGAAGAAAACCGTGCTTGCAGATCCATTTTTCTGGCTGCTTCCGACGAAGCCTTGGCCCTGGAGGGAAGAGGAGAGGATGGGTCTGCTTTTCCCCCTCCTTGGCAAGCACCCTGGCTTCAAAAAGTCCCCTCCCTCTTTCCCCCTGCTTGGTTTGCAGTCCAGACCCTCACCCTGACTCACTTCTGAACAGTACCTCGGGGAGTTCCCAAGTCGTGGTACAAACACACTTTGAGAGAGAAAACCACCACAAGCTGACGCCCCGGATTAGAGAAACCCGCTCGGATAAAAGCCACCCCGGAAACGTCACCCAATTTGCACATAAACGAAGAGGACATTTTATTGTCGAAGGCTTTCACGGCCGGCATACGATGGCTGGTGGGGGTCTCCCGGGCTGTGTGGCCGTGGTCTGGAAGTTTGTTTCCTAACGTTTCGCCAGCACCCGTGACCGGCATCTTCGGAGGGCAGGAGCACAGACAGGAGCAGTTCTCCTGGGCACAGAGAGAACCACCACACAGCCCGGGAGACCCACACCAGCCGAAGAGGACATTTGCCTGAGCCGCTCCCATCAAATTTCTTAATTGGCTCTTAATGAGCTCACTTGTCAGCAGAGCAGAAATGCAAAATGCTCCAGCTTGATGCAGCATCCGAAATAAAGTTAGCGAGGGCTGCGAAAGGAGTGGAATCTCCTCATGGTTTCCCATGGATTTGGGGTGGGGGGACGGCTGCAAATGCTACCACCAGCCCTCTCTTGCCCTCAGGTTTTATGGCAGCGGGGGAAATGACAAGCCCTTGAGGCTTGGAGGGGGAACTCAGTGGGCAGCCTGGGGGGCCTGTTGAATCCCAACTGGTTGCACCGAGTCTGTGGGTCGCGTAGAGCTATTTTCTGCTGAGGACCTCTGGCTGGCTTCTCCCCATGTATGATCCTTCAGTGCAAAAGGGTCAGAAGCACCAGAGCCGGGCATGTGTGTGTGACACAATAAAACCACCAGAAATAATGCAAGAGATGCTCTTTCTATCATGACTCCTTCTGGCTGGGTTAAAAGCAAGTCCAGAATTCATCCCGAGTCCACTTCCTCTCCCCCCGCAGCCCCAGAAATCCAAATCTCAGTTTCCTGGGACTGATTTGACGCTCGCGGCCCCAAGCCGCCCCCTCGGGGATGCAGATGGCGGCTCCTATAAAGAAATGTTTTATTAACACAGGCAAGTCGCCTGGCGTTGCTTTAGCAGATTTGATCACAGCAGGGCCCGGGAGAAGTCGGTCCAAAGGAGGCATCACCACAGAAGGCCTTAATTTGTTCCAAGCACTTAACGACAGCGGTGGAGGAAGGGCTCAAGAGCCGGCATTGCCACCTGGCTCTGGGCTGTCACATCCCTGAGGAAATCCAGCACTGCCTCTGGGTTGGCTGACTGTCTCTCCAGGCTGGGGTGGGGAGAGCGCTATAGCAAAGCAGCACCCCAACATCGAGCACCCCCTAAGACCTTTGCTGGCTGACTCACCCCCCAACAAGATGGGAAAGCAATGCTAAAGGAGCCGTGGAGACCCAGAAGTTGCGCGCATGTTCAGGGGAGAGTTGCAAGACCTGAGGAGGGCCCCACCTGAGGAGCCTCCAGAACTGAGAAGAGCTTCCCTCATCTAAGGCTGAGGAAGGAAGCCTCCTCTGGGTCCGGGCCGGGGAAAATGGCTTAGCTGACCTTGAAGAATGGGGGGAATGCTGCTTCCCAGGGTCCTTTGAAATGTTGGGGTATCAAACCAGGCAGCATCTACATGCAAAGCAAGTCCCACTCCTTGAATTCCTTCTCTAGGGACCCACCTGCAGACCATCAGCACGATGGTGTGAACTAGAGATTTCCACTAAATGGCCCAACCATCACCTTGGGCCCAAGGAGAAGGCCCTGAGGTTTGGACAGTCCATCCATTTCATCACTTGGTGGGGACAAAAGTCAACATTCACCAAGCAGGAAATGTGTCTAGGACTGACCGATCTTTCAAGGGGTCTACACTTTACCTTACTCTTTTCCAAGGTACTTCATCATGATACTGGTTACATCATCTTCTTTCCCTTCAGCCTCAGACCGTGGGTCAACTTTAGCACCTTCAGTGCTTCCTTTCCCCACACATCCTTCCCCTTCCTGCCTTTGGATTTTAGGCCGACACTTGATGCTGTCAGCACTTTTGAAAGACATCACTGAGCCAGAGGAAGAAGATGAGTCAGAGAGATTTCCACGGTCCTCTTTAGATTTCGACTGTGGAGATAAAATGGTCTTTATCTCAGATAAGAAGGTGCGGTGAGGGGTGACTTGGTCTTCAAAATGGACACTCAAGGGCCGCTGTCCATCCTTCTTCTCCTTGGGACCTCTAGGCAAGCTATTGGTAGACTGGGCTTTTTGGATGGCTGGGAGAAAGTCATCTAAGTCAGCATCTGTTTTTCGCTCGTAACTTAGTGTTGGTATTTTCCAAGAAAATGGATCCTTTCCTTCACTTGGAATCTCACCCAATCTCTTGCTTTGGAACATCAGAGGTTCTTTCCCAAAATCCATGCTTTCTTCCAAAGATGGCTCCAGGCAACTTCTCCATGGCCTTAGTCGTGATGTGCTGACTATGTCTTCACCCAGGATTGGAGAGCCAAGTTTTGGGTAAGTGTCATCTATATTCTGAACAAGGGAGTCATAGGAGCCAAATCTGGAGGCCCTTTTCAGAGCTGGGGAGAGAGATGGCCGTACCATGCAATCTGATGAGTTGCTTCTCAAATTGGAGGAGCGAACCAGGTCAACTCCAGGATTTGCACCAAGGTCATCCAGGCTTATTTGAAAATCTTCATTGTCCTTCAAAGTCCTACATCTTCTTAGGAAGGAAGCCCCTGTTGTTTGGTAAATGGGCAAAGAGGAGGCCTCATCCAAAGGCTCTTTTTCTTTCAATCTTTTTCTCCGCAGCTCTTCAATGTACTCAGAAAGTGCAGAGGAGGAGCGGGACAGCTTATCCTCTGCCAAAGGAGATATTCTTCTGTTCAGAGAAGGAGATAAAGGACTTGGAAACTTCTCTTCAGCTGCTGCTGGAGAGGACATCTGCCTCACTGCAGATGGTGACACAGCATCTAATTTGGGGGTGCTGTCAAATCCCTCCTTGCAAATGGGCTTCCCATATTCACGTCTCAGAGGGCCAATGGAAGGACTTTCAGCTTTGCTGGGAGCAGAGTCCCCTGTGCATCTTCCATATTCCTTTCTTTTTGCATTCAGCGTTGGCATTGGCTGCCAGCTTTTCTCTAGGTCCTTGTTCACCCTATGAGGAAAAAAGTTGAAAAAGAAACTCTGAGCTGGACATTACACAAAGGCCCCATCTCCACAGTCGCCGGAGTTAAAAGAGCAAACAAGACAAACAAACCCTGCATAGGAAGGACATTTAACACTGACATTAGAAGCTGCTGCTTCCCCGTCTTGTGGAATGCAGTTCTTGGTCCTCACTCAGCTAGACCCAGGCGCAGAGCCCATTTCTCTCCCTCCAGCGTTTGCTCACGAACGCTGCAGGACCAGCGGAAGAGAGAAGTGCACCCAGATGGGCAGAAAAGGGACCCAAATCCATCCCTGCTTGACCCCGAACAGCGCTGATCCCAAACTGAGTTTGCCAGGGAGCTGGGGGGCGGGGGGGGGGCTCAATTTCAGAACGCCTTTTCCTCCTGAAAGGCAGGCGTTAAAAAACCTCTTGAATGGGGAAAGGAAGGGAGAAAGACCCTGCTGTAAAATTGCAAGGGACTCTTCTTTTTCCTAGCTTTCGCTCTGCTTTGAGAGAGACAGTCGTTAAAACATTTAGGCTTGACAATAATAAACCATTCTCGCTAAGGAGAAGGGATCCCATTGCCATAGCAACCTCACACCAGCCTGTAATCTCGCAAAGTCAAGACCTCGGCCAGGTTGACCTGAAATGAAATCTAGCCAGAGAAATCTCTCAGGACGATCTCTCCATCCATCCATCCATCCATCCATCCATCCATCCATCCATCCATCCATCCATCCCCTTGGGAAAGAAAGGGGCCTTTGGAAGGTCTTGGGCAAAGAGTCCAGCTCCTGAAGACCCCCTTCCAGCCATGTGGGGAGGTGACCAAGCCGCGACGGGGCAGCCTCAGTTTTCAAGGACAGCCCAGACCTACCCTCAGCTGGTCTCAAATCCATGATGGAAAGAGAGGGATTCTTGGGCCAGCCTCAGTCAACTCATGACTTGCCCTTATAAGACATGCCTACAAATCAGTAATTCAACCGCGCCCTTCCACAATTCTGCTACCATCCCAACAAAACGAGCTGAAATGGTGGGAAGAGGCAGCCCTGCCATGCTACTTGCAAACCGCTCCTCCTTTAAGGCAGGGCCATTCCTCTGTGCCCGACTCTCAGAGAGCCAGGTTCCGCTTAGACAAAGGCACCTGGCAGCCCTGCAAACGGAGGGGTGGTGCAGAAGGATTTTTGCCTTGAAAGCTCCTGCAAACTCCTCCAGGTTAGTCACAAAAGCCCCATGCCACCCACGGGCGGGCTTGGTGGGACTCGTGCACCTCCTGCTGCAATCCCCCCCCCATCTGCTCCCGCCTTGCATCACTTGCTTTTCTGGCTCCCTCCTCGCCAAAGACTGACACAGCCTGGATCTGTTTCTCCTGCCCGCCTGGCGCCCATACTCTGAGCATCACAGAGCTTGTTTACGGCACCTTTACAACAAAGGAAAGGATGCCCTTGATTTGCACACCCCTCCTTTATCTCCAACAGTGCCTGGGCTGTTTTGAGGGGCAGGGGGAGAGGTAGCATCACAACGGGGTGTAAAAAGACATCAGAACCAATTACAGACAGTGACTGGGCTCAGATGCCAGCCTTTGGACGTTGGCCTTGCACAAGTACCAGTCATGCCAGGAGCTCCCGTGCCCCTTCTGGAAGCCCCAGGGGCTTGAACTTTGCTTTGCTGTAGGTCCAGCCTCCGAGGCCAGGCAACGCTTGCCGTGCTTATGAAAGCCAAGGCGGTCCAGGGCGGAAACTCTCGGCACCTTTGTTGCCTTAGAAACCAGTTCAGGCCTCAGCAGATCCAAGAGGGAGCCTGTGTGTGTGTGCGTGTGCGTGCGCGTAAAGAACAGATCCCCCATCTTCTCTCTCTTCCAGTCTATCAAAGGGACCAGCAGGAGACCGGGCAGAAGAGAGACCCAGGGCTTTCCTTGCTATCAAAAGCCTTTCAAACGCAGAATGCTTGCCGTAGACCGATCCAAACGGATGGCACGTTGCTTCCAATTGCAAGCTCTGCCTTCTCCCAGATTCACTCCTCTGCGACCGAGGAGGAGACCCTTGCTCAGAGGCCCCAGCAGGACAGTGCTCTGTGCTGCCCGGCCATGGCAACACTCCTCCTGCCCAGCTAATGGGCCGACATCACCAAGCCCGCCCGCAGATGGGCACAGGGGACCTACCACCCGCCCAAGGGAAACCACCAGCAACTGGGAATCCTTGCAGGAGCTGCCAAGGGAAGCGGGAGAAGCTCGGGAGGCGCCCATTCAAGAGGCTGGCAGCCGATCCAGGCAGGCCTTAATTCCCCACAATCGATGGCTTGGGGGCCTAGCCAGACCCCTTCCCACCTTACAGGTTTGTCGTAAGGGCCACCTCCAAGGCGGCTGGCTTTGGACAAACACGCAGGGGACCCTCACAGCCCAGCTTCTTAGGGAGAGAAGCAGCTTCCTCGGGCAATGCGGTTCACGTGACCGAGGAGCAGCTCCCGTGTCCTGAGGCGGAAGAGGACTTTCTCGACACGTGCTCCGTGCCCTTCAATCTAACGAGCGGGAAAAGCAAAAATGGCCTCCAAATACCGCAGTAGCTTTCTTCTGTCTCTTTTTTCCTCCCCAGGTTTTTTTAAGGGAACCTCTAGTGGGAGAATCTGAAAGCATCCTGAAGCCAAATAGGATTTTTGCAGTGTGCAATCTGCACCAAAGCAAATGATATACAACAGTAATTAGTGAAGATTACACAGCAATTAGGATGATTATTATGCTTATGCTAGTGGAAATAATTTATGCAATAATATCTGTTCTTGAATTGAAGCATAGAGCATGTCCAGAGACAAAAGGATAGGAGCCGTAATTGCAGGGAGGGATGGACCAGGCTGAAGCACCAGAGAGAAGAAAAGCCGGTCGTTGCTGTCGCGAAATGCCAGCATTTCCTGGGATACCACCTGGCTTCAGCGCTCTGGTGGCACCAGGAAATTCAGGACACATGTCTGCCAGCTGCTGCCAGATCTTTCTCCAGAGGCTGGTAAGACTGTTCTGCTTCAGTTCCTGCAAGAGGGAGGCTGACTCAAAGAGGAATGGCAGAGCTGCTGCGCCTCGCACCAAAAAGGGCCCCCAGCAGGCCCGCCTTAGTTTTGCTTCTGTTCCCAACTGTCCTGCCCAGGCACGAAGCTGAACTCTCCGAACAGGGCATTCTCTCTTCAAACCACTCCAGGAGTCTTCTCCTGCTTGAAGTAAAAGTGTGGCCTCTTTCTTCCAATCATAGTCAGTCAGGAGCACCCTTCTAGCTTTGATCTTCTGCTGCCCCACCACGTGGGCATCGCAGAAGTCACCTTCCAGCCCCTTCACCGAGGCCCCCCAGTGTCTCCTGCACTGGAAAATCACTCCGGTGGACCCTTCCTTCTCAGGAGCTCTCACGCACAACTTCTTTCAGCTGACTAGGGAATTTCCTATATGCCTTCACATCCTCTGTATCATGCAAACCTTTCAAAACTGCATTGACCCCTCTGAACGTTCATAGCACAGCAAATATTAGGAACGTAATAAAGAGGCATGGTTGCTGAGATAAATCCAGCTAAAGTTTCTTGAAGCTGATTCCCTTTTGCAGAGTGTACTTCCAGACAGAGAGCCACAATTATATTTGCCAGAAAGAGGAAGCAAGCACGTCTCCGACTTAGCCCTCGCCAGTACACCCTGGAAGGTGCAGACAGAGTGGGGGAAGCCAGCAGCTAACAGAAGAAGCCCCCCAGCTCCCCCAGGCCTTTTCAGAGTTCAAACGATGGGAGCAGCGCTCCTTGGAAAGGCAACCTGTGCCTTCCCGGGAGCAGATCTGTTCCAAGAGCCTCTGCTCTCTGCTGAGGTGGGCCCTGTGAAAGGATTACAGGGGCTTACATCCAGCGCGTTTCTTCCTGAAAGGACTTCCAACCTTTACAAGAGCTAAATATCAGCCAGCGCTCCGCACTCTGAGTCAACACCACCCCGGGAAGCCTCTGAACAGCCGGAATAGGCCACGGATTTAGACGTCTCAGGCTGTCGGTGGAAAAGAGGGGCTTGTCTGCTCCCCTTCCAGAGAGGCACCCCACGCACAGAGGTGGCAGAGGCTGTGGGTCAGACAAAACAACCCTGCCAGCATCCTGCTCTTGGCAGGGACAAAGTGAGACTCCCCTGAAGCTGAGAGTGGGGCAGAGCCCCTCCGTGGGACCCAGCCTCCAGAGGCAAACTGCCTTGGCCAGGGAGGCCCAAGGCCCCACCGCCCCCTTCGAGGCCCTCACCTCAGGCCTTGGGTGCTCCGGCTGTCGACGGAGAGCTGAGACGTGCTTCCAGCCAGACTGGGAGCGGATGGAGAAGTCCAGCCTGACGCCGTCTCCAACCAGGACCTGACACTTCCCTCAGATTCCAGATTTAAGCTCAGTGTTGAACTTGAGCCCAAACTCAACTGACTGCCCCTGCGAGGAGAAGAAGAAGAAGAAGAACGGGAAAGCTGGTCTCCTCCGAGGAAGACATGGGCGGTCCCCTTACAGCCAGAGCCAGCGTAAGGTAGCCACGCGGGAGACAACCCCAGGCTCTGACAACTGCCGCATCTGAAAGGTCCCCCCGCCCCGCAAATTCGGGCTGGGAGTCAGGCAACATATACGTTGAATGAATTATGATGATGATGATTTAAGCTGCTGAGTCCAAGAAACCTCTCGGCCAGAGAGGGGCTTTTGGGCAGAAGACTTGCAAACTGGAGCAAAACCCCTTGGACTAAACATCAAGTGAGTGAACACTGGTGTTTCTCAACCTCAGCAACTTTAAGCTGTGTGGACTTCAACTCCCAGAATTCCCCAGCCAGCATGAGGGGCC